GGTATCAAGTGTTCATAGTGATATTTGAGGACATCAAGTGTTCATAGTGGTATTTGGTATCAAGTTTTCATAGTGATATTTGAGGACATCAAGTGTTCATAGTGGTATTTGGTATCAAGTGTTCATAGTGATATTTGGGGACATCAAATGTTCATAGTGTATTTGGGGACATCAAGTGTTCATAGTGTTATTTGGTATCAAGTGTTCATAGTGATATTTGGGAACATCAAGTGTTCATAGTGTATTTGAGGACATCAAGTGTTCATAGTGGTATTTTGTATCAAGTGTTCATAGTGATATTTGGGGACATCAAGTGTTCATAGTGTATTTGGGGAATCAAGTGTTCATAGTGATATTTGGGGACGTCAAGTGTTCATAGTGATATTTAGGGACAACAAGTGTTCATAGTGATAACTACACTGGGAATATGCACAGTAGATATGAAGTCAATCTGTCTGATAGTTTTGAAAAGGATCTTGATTACATAACAAGTTGAAGCTGGACACTGACAATGGTCAAACCATAGATTTGATAGGTGTTAGTGCAAATATACCTTGAATGCAATGGTTTCAGCATGGTATGTATTCGTTCCTCAATAGTGTCCTTCACCAGAAAATGATGAACCACAGTAGGTCTGTAATAAACAAAGACATAATAGTCATACTGCCCTCCAATGCTGTCAGTGTATTAATCAGTATATCACTCTGACCCACTGCAATTCCCAATATGTATGAATTTGACCAATCCAGTGCACTCTAACAGAATGAATATGACTTATTTGACCAATCCAGTGCACTCTAACAGAATGAATATGACTTATTTGACCAATCCAGTGCACTCTAACAGAATGAATATGACTTACTTAATTTGACTATTCCAGTGCACTTTTACAGAATAAATGAGACTTACTTAATTTGACCAATCCAGTGCACTCTAACAGAATGAATGACTTACTAAATTTGACCAATCCAGTGCACTCTAACAGAATGAATATGACTTATTTGACCAATCCAGTGCACTCTAACAGAATGAATATGACTTATTTGACCAATCCAGTGCACTCTAACAGAATGAATATGACTTACTTAATTTGACTATTCCAGTGCACTTTTACAGAATAAATGAGACTTACTTAATTTGACCAATCCAGTGCACTCTAACAGAATGAATGACTTACTAAATTTGACCAATCCAGTGCACTCTAACAGAATGAATATGACTTATTTGACCAATCCAGTGCACTCTAACAGAATGAATATGACTTATTTGACCAATCCAGTGCACTCTAACAGAATGAATATGACTTATTTGACCAATCCAGTGCACTCTAACAGAATGAATATGACTTACTTAATTTGACTATTCCAGTGCACTTTTACAGAATAAATGAGACTTACTTAATTTGACCAATCCAGTGCACTCTAACAGAATGAATGACTTACTAAATTGACCAATCCA